CATATGCATAGGTTGGTTTTCATTTATGTGCGCACCAATCGTTGGGGGAAACTTCGTTTTAATGCTTCCCCCAACAGTTGGGCATTTTATTCACTGTTCCGCTGATGTGGTGTCTAGTTGTCAATAAACGGTTTATTAAGTACTTTTCTCAATTTTGAAGACAAATCAAGTACAAACATTTATTTAATAAACGGAAGCAAACACATATTTAATCAAAGCTATAATTTTTTCTTGAAGGGGGCCAAAACTAATAAAACATGGGTAAGGAATCAAAATATAAGACTTAAATGAGTATTGTGGGGATTTTCAAGGCATTGGGGGGCAATGGCCTCCCTCTACCGCCCCCTTGGCTCCGTCCTTGAGTTCAATTTTGTGAGTTTAGGTAGGAATTTGGTCTTTCGAGCTCTTTACAAGGCGATGTAAATCTCTTGAAAGCACAAAATGGCAGTTTAAGGAAGAATAGTGATTGGAGTGTGTATCTCCTTGAATAAAACAATGAGGAATTTGGATTACAGATGATGGAAAACGAAACATACTTGAGAAGAAACTTGAGAGGCTTGAGATTAGAGGTCGGGATCACATTTGACATTTATTGCGACCACCGATTCAAGACAAGCCAAGACTTTAACAATATTTTTTTGAACGCGCCAGTGCTTTAATCTGATACCGGCTTGACATGATGTTTTGTTTTTTCCAATGAACACTGGCGTGTTTAAAAATCATTGGGGGGGGGGGGCTCGGGTTTACCCTGTGATGAGGTTGCATGAAATGTGTTTTCTTAGGGTCCGTTTGATTACTAGGAAAATTGGGCTAAGAAATGATGGGATGAGAAGAGGAAAATTTATTTTCTCAGTTAGTTATAATGCGTTTATTTGCTAATAATTTTTTTGTGAGAAAATCCACTTTCCAGTGCTTGTTTTGCAATAAAAGTTGTATGAGAAAAATCATGTTCAACTATAAATATGCATGTAATTTACTTATATGATGACATGGCATTAATATAAACAACTTGCACCCCCCAAATGTATGACACGTGCGATTAAACTTGCCACATGGCATTGTAGTGTTATTAAACCTGCTCATTCAAAAGTTTTACTAAGAGCAAGAAATGCTTCATTATTTGGACTCATCATAGAACTTGTTCATAGGTCTACTCGTCCACAAAAAAAACCTGTGCATGCATTCATAAAAGAAACCACTAGGAACTAAAATTACTCCATTATTTGGACTTGTTGGTACATCAAAGAAGTTGCATTTAATAACTTGTCTCATCCAAAAAGTCATACATACATCAATAAATCATCGAGTACCTATCCTCCAAGCTCAACAATGCATTCAATATGTTGTTGAAATGATGGCTCACAATCTCACCACCAGACCGACTGAAATGAAAGTCCATTGTTCTATTCCTAACATTGTGTGATAGTATGTGTAGGAAGTGTGCAACTTGTTCTTTTACTGTGCACCTTATTGTATCATGTAGTTTTCCTATCTTACGAATAATCTTGCATATCGTTGCAAATGCTACTTTCCCCATTCTCAATTGGATATAACAATCTATTTCTTTTTGTCCATATAGTCTATCTGATAAATCTCTCCATTCTAAATCCTAATTCATCAATGGTTCTCTATCAATGTAATCCACATATTATTGCAACATTGAAAATGTGATTGCAGTTGTAGCAAATTTTGCTCCATCTATTTATGGAAAATAAATAAATAAATAAATTGGGGAATTCATTGCAGAATGCCTATATATTTTGCATGTTGAAAAAATAGTCAAAGAAAACAAAACAAAAAAAAAGAGCAACCATGAATAAGTGTAAGTGTATTATTCTCTTAATTTTTTATTTCAACTTTCTTTAGTATCAAATTTGGAATAAATGTAGATTTACAAATCTTAAATTTGGGTTATACAACAAGAACTCAAAAATCCTTGAAACACATAGTTTTCATATACTAGCTAATATAGAGAGTTTCATTAAGAATGCTGAGAAGTTTCATTGGTTTCTAGCCACAATTTAGGACTATTTGATCAATCCAAAGAATACTACTTTATCAGAACTCAACGGGGAGCAATTTTGTTTGTGCCATCGATTTAGAGGAATTCTTGAGAATTTAGACAAAACATCAAGAGATTTATTGACTTTTCTATGGTAAGATTATCTTGGTTTTATTACATATGAATTTTGATTTCAGGTTGCAAGTATATATTTATCTCATATAGATTTGTACAAGTGTTTAGAAGAAACTCAACTACAAATTGTTTGGAATGTCATTTGCTGTCTAATACATGTAAGGCGCTGCATGGGTAGCCTCCAGCTAAGAAAATAAGCTCACAAATCACATCTCATGAAATGTCAATAAAAATAGATGTCATATTGATGGCTGATGCATGCTTGGACTGGTTTAATGAGAACTCAAACTTCTAACTTTTTCCAAGGTAAGGTGTCTATACCCCATCCACCACCAAGTTTTTTTTTTTTTTTAACTTTTAATTAAATGGTGATTTCCACTACTTAACTCAATTGGATTTGATCATTTATTGTAATAGATATATGTGGTGTACAAATATAGCAAGGACTTAGACATTGTGAAGGCTATACCTCTGTGTTTAAAACAATAACATTTTAAATATTCGGTTTTGTTTCCCTTGAGATAGGCACCAAAATAGTTCTATATTGTTACCATCCAGAAAGATCACTATGATTAAAAATACCAAGCTTCACTTTGAACAAAAGTGTGTGATTTTTTTTTGTTTTAATTTAATTCATAATAATATCACCTAAACAATACCAATGAATCCCATCCTGCCTCCACTTAATGTAATACCAATGAAGGTCACAGTTTGGTGATCGGCAATCTAATCTCATATACTTGCTATGAGGAGATGATTGAATCGGGATTTTGACTGGAGATGACCGGAGATGACCAGGAACAGTTTTACTTGGAAAAGCTTCCACTCGAGAGTGAGTGAGAGCCATTCTTAGAACTACCAGAGGCCATTTTCTTAGAGATCAAGAGGAGTATGAGTATAGGTGGTTAACGGTAAGTGATACAGTGAAGGGGAGTCTTTCATAGAGAAAGTAAAAGCTCAGGTTGCTTGTCATCTGCTGTCTTATACATACCACATTTGTTTGGAATCAGAATAACCCCATGGTTAAGATGCAACCCATGAACATTTTATTCAAGACAAAACAAATGCAGCCCATGTTATCAAAACATTCAAATGAATTTATGAATTTTGTTTTCGAAAATAAAATGAAAAAGAGAAAAACTTCAATCATCAAAGTTTTCTTACTTCACACAAAAATAGCGTCATCCAGAGCCAGAGCAAAAGTGGAAGCTTCTTCACCTAGGAGGAAAAGTGGCTCTGTTTGTATCCTAAACTGGGTGAGAGGGAGAAACTCTGTTTGTATCAAGGCTGAAACTAAAAAACAAAAAAGTAAATCAGTGAAACCAATTTCATTCTCCAGCACTTCACTTCTTAGAAAAATGAGAGAGAAAAAGAGTGAGTAATGAAAGAAAGAAAACCTATTGGATTCGAAGTTTCAAACATCACACTCTCGGTGATCTACACAAATGTGGTTAAAATGTCAGATCTGGACATGGATGCATGCTCGTGGAGAGTGGGGTTTCATTTCGGCAAAACCTTTGCTGGAGACAATGAAGAAAATGGTTGAGCTTCCAACCACTAAGGGGAAAAACATGGGGTTGGGGAAGAAGGAATCATTGACTGAAAAAACAACAAAAAATGGTAGAACATGATCACTAGAGAGAGAAGAGAGATATTCATGGATCTTGTGTTACCTTTCAGAGAGATGGTCGGAGAAGTTGCCAGAGATACGACCGTTGGATTGCTACTTTGAAGAGAGAGGAGACTATCGATTTCTTGCTCTGACAAAGGCCAACAAATTTTCTTAGCTTGTTCTTTTCCCATCGGGGTCGCACTGCTTTGGTGCGATCCTGCTCACTTCATCTTGGGATCTCGCATACCTCTCGTTTTTCATCCCAAAACACTGTATACGAACAAACAAACATGGGAAAGGGAGAATCATTTAGGAATATTTCATTTTCTCATCCATTTTTCAACAAATAAACAGACCTTAGATACCTCTTGAGAGATGAGCATAAGTGAATGTCTGGCGTTTTAAACATTAAAGGGCAAATTTGGTATTGTTTAAACCTTTGAAATGGGTTGTTAATTATTCTAAACGATTCAAAGCCAATTTTTTAAAAGACGACCCAGACCGGATCTGCTTTGATCACTAGTTTTCATGTCAACGGTTTGGCCATTCATTTAAAATGGATGACCTGTTGCAATTTAAAAACATAAAAACAATAATTAAAATAATAAGTGAACAGAAACCATTGTCCAAGTTGAATAGGAAAATGGTTCAATCATTGGGTTAGTGGATCACTAAAGAAGTCAACAGTTTTTGGCATGGTTTTCGAACCGCCACTGACCTGGATGACTGAACTATTCAACCTGGGAACTGTCAAAGTAATCGGTTTCGTTTTACCCCAAATCTGGTTCCTAGTAAAAAATGTTGAATCGGTCAATAACTCATTGACTCAAATGGTTAAACCATCGACCTACCAATACATTCAACGGTTTTGGCCATTTTTCATTTTTAAAACATTTGTTGACAGATTGGGCCATCCATTTAAACCAGATGGTCAAACTATCAACCCAAAAACAAATGGTTAGAACGATTCCATTTCTGGGTCGTTTTTTAAAACCATTATTTTTAGTATAGAAATGATTTAAGGATTAAACGGAACCGATTGCCTAAATGGTTTTTTGACCGAACAGGTCCGACCGTCCGGATCAACGACGATTAGATAACCATGGTGAAAGCACATCAAGATTCAAGAATATGAATATCCATCACACGACAGTCTCGTGACGGTCAAGAACGTGTTGCTGGCATCTGCTTTGGCAATTCCAATTTCGCGTTTCATGCGGCACGTGTACCGGGTATGCCCTAAAATCATCACTGCTCACTGGCATCGCCGTCAGTAGGGGTTGTAGTCCTAACGCCCAACGGGCGTCCGGTCCGTCTGCTTTGTTTTTCTGGGTTCTCAACTTCTCACAATGGAACCAGGAATAAAATTGTAAACCAGTTTGGCGCTTTTTCTCCCAAGTTATAACATCACGTGTTTCTCCGTCCCCGCCTATCTCTCTGTATTTGTTGGAAACTGCATTGCAAATCCAAGCAAGCGGGGACTAGGGTTTTTTTTTTCGCCGGTGTCATGGCTTCTCATTCCCATATCGACGACGTAAGAACTTCAGTTCCATTTCTCCATCTCTACTCTTTCCGTCAATATATATGTTAATCGACTTAGGGTTTTATTTTTTTTATGATTATTCGTTTAACTTATTGACCTGAAATCCAGGAGGATGATTTCGGTGGTGACTATCCTGGAGCTCACAGCACCAGACGTTCAAGTTTGTTCTTCTCATTTTTTTGTTGGGTTTGGATGTTTCATATGATCTGGATATGAAATCTTTATTGTTTTCACTTCACGCTACATTCGTGGAATTTAGGTAACAAAAGAAGTTTTGGAGATCTCGACGATGACGATGACGACTTTTTCGGCTCTAAGAAGGTACTGCTAGGTTGTTTAGAAGTTGCAATTTTTTGCCTTCTTGTTAGTTTCATTTAATTTTGACATGTCAATGCGCCTCAAATTGCAATTACTTGGTGGTTTTTGTGATGCTTTGGGTTGCAGTTTCCTTTCTAATTAATTATACGGTATTGGAATGCCAATGTCGTAATATATATATAGGCTTTACTTAAAGGGGCGTGTTTTAAAGATCTTCCTGAAAGGGAAGCACTTGGCGGCACGAGATCGGTACTGCAGAACTTATGGCTGCAGTGCTTTCTAGTTAATGGTAAAAGCCAGTGGAGTTTGGTCTGGTGGGAGAAGTGGCTGGTCGTTAGTAAGAGCATTCCTTCCAACTAAGGGTTTGCTTTGCATTCTTTTCTGGTGCCCAAAGCAGAGAGGTCTAGTCTGCAATTTCAGTTCATACTTACCAAAAGAAAGTTAAAAAGGAAGGAATTCTTTACAGTCCGAGTTGGGTGAAATCCGGCTGTTTAGAGTTTACTTCCAACTAAAGTTACCGAGTGGTCACTGACATGTATTTAACTGTTGTTGCCGTTTTATAGTGTATTGTGCAGCCTCGAACTTGTCCCTAACAGGGCTACAATGGGCAATGCAATCCTTGCAAGAAAGAATGATATAACATTTTTAGAACAGGACATTTGGCATAGGTTCTAATAAATTGTAAAAATTGTCTAAGAGCTAACCTCTGTCATCCTTGGAAAAATTTCTGTAGTGTTTTCCATTATTTTTCTCCCATTCATCTGATTTGCTATGCTAATATGTTGCTAGAAAGGGGAATTTTTATGTCCTGTAATCACAGATGCCAGCATTTGGGGGATGAGGTGAGATAGGAGCAAAAACTAATTTTTGGAGAAGTGAGCTTCATTTTAGTCAAGCTCATGATAGATCCCATCTGTTGATGTTTTTGTTGATTAAAACATTTTGAACCATGAGGGTAACATATGATGTTGAAAGCGACAACTGGATCAGAAAATTCAGAACAACCATCCTTTGAGAATCCTGAACTCAATGATGATCGGGGAAATGGGGTTGAGGCATTGCTGGAGCAAGAAGAGGATGAAATTATCACCCTTCTAGTTGAAGTTCCTTTGGATGAATCTATAATAAGAAGGTGGATATAAAATTGGTGGTTGAAAGAGAGGTTCAACTTCACAAGGAATTGGGATTTGGGGCTATTCTTTTTAGGTGGTGCAGAGGTTAGCATTAAATCAATGGTGTTGATGTAAATATTACTTTCCAAGGATTGCTGAAGAGATACAGTTTCTGTTCCTTAGACTTGATGGTGATTTACTACCATTCCTGCAAATTTGAATTTTGAACTCATGGAACTCATCAAATTATGGAGGTGTCAAGGTCTTAATGTTCTCTGGATAATTGCTTGGATGACTAGCAATTTTCTTTTTGCCTTGTATAATGGCTAGGTATCTCACTCTCTCAATAGATATAATTAATAGGTGCTCTGAAAAGATAAGCATCCTATGTCTGTTTGGGTGGAACAGTCTGATTGTCTGGGATGGGGCTGGATTATTCAGTAACTTACCATATTATTGTCAGGGCATTTTTTGATGCTTCACATTCCTTATGGACATCAGGATATGCTCAATTGAAAATTTTATTTTCTTTCAAAACATCATTGTTTTGAAGGTCTAGAGAGTACTAGCACTGACCACATGCCTGGTTGCTGAAGGATTGGAAATCAATTGGATTTGTAGTTGATGACCTTGGTTACCTCGAGATAAAGTCAAATTTAAAGAATATTACAATATCGTGACCAGATCTTAGTTTTCTCCTGTCAAGGTTATAAATCCCATTCCCAAGCAGAGCTTTCTAGTTTCTAGCATTGGTCAAAAGGATGCTATATCTTTAATGAGGTATCTGACATCAAATGTTGGTGAAGCTTTAAATTTCAACTATGACTCTTTATTATGTTTAAAATAAGCACACAAAGTATTAGGTAGTAGCTTTGGATCAGTTTTTGTTTTTTAGTTTAGAGTTGCTGTGTTTTGTATGGTGAGGTGCCATCTTGTCACCTCTTGGATTGTATTTCTTTATTTCAATTAATGAAATTTCACTTTACTCTTCAAAAAAAAAGTAGTAGCTTTGGCGTGTGACATTTAAGAACTGCCTTTGATGTTAGGTGATCTTATTTTACTATTCAGTGGGAGCAACCCATAAACAATCTTGTAAAGGCCTAATGTGGACTTTTGGAACCATCTATAGTGGCAATTGGCACCTTTAGACAAAGAGTTTGGGTGATCTTTTTGATCAATAAAGAGTTCCAAAGATTCTTCATACATGGCAGAGAAAAAGTGCTACTTAGCTTCCAAATAACACATGCTGACATGCATAGAACATAATAATAAACGAAAAGAATAGAGAACTTGGAAGAAAAGAATAAGCTCTTAGAACTAATACTCAATTTCTTATGCAAATACCAACCTCTAGTATGTTCCCTTAGAGGTGACCGACAAACATCTTATTTATAGACCAAGTAATAAACTACTAAATTTCAAGAGGACTCCTATGGAGACTGAATGCTCATATTCCAATTCCTATTTGTTTTTTGCACAGGCATTGAATTAAATAGTTTCTCTGGAAGAGTGAAATACAAACACCTTCATGATAACGTCATCTTATGGCCACTAAGATTGATTGATCACCTGCTTAATTATAACAATTTGAGCATATACTCTGGCTAGAGTTTTTAAATACTGACTGTAGTTTATTTTACTAGATTTGCCCCCCTTCATGGTGTAAGTATATAGTGGTCGCTCAGACCGCCAGAGTACCGAGGATACCGAATTAATACCACACTAACACTTGTGATGAGTTCATATCTCATCAGACGTCTGCGATAAGTTTATAACTCATCGCATGACAGCGACAAACTCGTACTCAAAATGGGTTGCGATGAACTTTAGACACACACAAATTTGTGATGAACCTTAGACACACACAGATTTGCGATGAGTTTTAGACACGCGCAGAGTTGCGATGAGTTCAAAGCCATTGTAGAACCGTGACGAACATATAATCACTGTAGATCGGGAGTAAATATTAGTTACACGAATTACGCGTGTGACAGGACGTCCCATGGGCCTAGTAAAGGCGTGCCTACTAAATGATGATCTTACTCGTGCCATGTCGATTAAATGGGTCACAAAAGGAAATAACACACACGGATTATGAGAATCCTCGGACGAAAGGAAAGTTCATCCTAGAGATATCTTGTAACTTGTAAGACACGTGGTGAAACCCTGGCGTTGTTCCCTACAACTGACAGCGAATCCAATATTTCCATTCCTAGTGGGAATCAAATGCTTTTGGCTCCTTTTCAGGACCTCAGGATCTCTCCCTATAAATAGGAGTCCATCTCGTAATGAAATATCATCTTATCATTCACATTTGCCTTGGCCTCTAGCCTACCTCTTGCATCCGGTCTTCCTTTGTCTTTCAAGGAGACCCCTGTATGTAGCCTCACCATAGTGCTCACACATGGTCCTCAAAGCATCTAGGAATTTCTGGGCAACAATGGGGTGCCTACTGCCTAGTCACTTGTTTTTTTTGATAGGAAACGGTAACTTTCATTAGATAAAACCACCTTCCAAAGTAAAAGGTGACCCCTGAATAACAAAAATCTTACAACATTGCACAAAACAAAAACTCCCGATTCACCCCCTGTTTTGCTAGGTAGTCAGCTAAAGCATTTTCTGACCTCCTAGACCAATACACTTTTGCATGATCCCTTGTGAAGCTCAATAATTCCCTTACCTGTTGTCTAAGGGACCATGTTCCCAAACTGTTTGATTGCAGCCATCCTACTACTAATTTTGAATCCCCCTCCACTTCCAACCGTTGGAAACCCAATTGCTTGGCCCATCTGAGCCCCTAAAGGAGTGCCAAAACTTCAGCTCTAAGCGAGTCCCCCACACCTATTGGGCCAGAATACAGAGCTAGGATTTTTCCTTCCGCATCTCTAAACACACCCCCTATTCTAGAAGGTTCAGGGTTCCCAATAGAGCTGCCATCAAAGTTCAGTTTGACATGACACTGCAAAGGAGGGGACCAAACTTCTTGTATGGTAGGTGATGAAGTAGAAGATCTTGCTAAAATATTCCAGCCTCTAATCAAATCATCTGTAGAGACATCCTTGAACAATTCAAGAGTTTTCAGCCAATGTACTGCCTTGATGGTGATCCCTTCAATAACTTCAGGAGTTGATTTTTCTTTCCCTTGGAAAATCCTATTGTTTCTCTCTTCCCCTACTGCCTAGTCACTTAGGCAATTGGAATTTCATAAAATAAAAGCTAATTTTTGATATATACTTTTTTATTTCTATTCTCTTTTTTTTCTCTTCTCTAAGCCCTTGGATCTTCTAAATTTCAATAGTAAAACTTTAAAGCAAAGTATAAATGTGTATATATATATATTTATATTTGAATGTTTTATAATAAGGCACTTGCTTTGTCTTTTTGTCACTTAGGTGAGCACCTTATCACCTAGGTGGGTGCCTAGTTGCCTAGATGGGTGCCTTGTTGCTATAAGTCAAAGCATTCAGGCGAGGCACCCAGGCAAGGGTGCCTAGTGGTCCTCTTGTTCATTTATAGATAATAGATCACATTGTATATCACTACGAGGAAAATGAGTCTCTTTTGCCATTGTTTTTTCTGATATATTTGTCAAGGTTGGTTTTTTCCTTTTGGGTGATCAAGGGGATCTATATTGGTCAAGGTTCATATAGATAATGGTATGGCAGAAGTTCTCTGTTTGTTGCCAACCCGACACAACCCTCGTTTGTTGGGGCTTGGGACCGATAGTGTAAGACCAGCTCAGCATTAGTGGAGTTAATATTTGGTCAAGATTGTTTGCAGTAAATGAATTCCATGGCTGTTATTAGTTGTATCTAGGTTCTTTTGTTGTTTAGGCATCTTTAGTCTCTGCAATGATAGTTTCTATTAGGTTGTGCCTTATGGAAAGGAATCTGGCAAGCAAAACAGGATTTCTTGAATGGTATTAAATATGAAATTGGTGAAGGAACTGGGGTCAGATTTTGGCTGGACCCTTTGTGTGGGAAAGATGCTTTACAGGAGCTCTACCTTTCTCTGTTTGAAATAGCTCAAAATAGGAGGCAATGGTGGCTGATATTCTGACTCATCATTGGTGATAATGGAGTATGGACTGTGGAATCCTCTAATCAGGGGAGATCTAAATGATTGGACTTGGTGAGGACAATTTTCCTTGGGCTAGGATCTACAGGGGGGCTCCCACCAAGGTTGTCTTTTTTTGTTTTGTACTGCCATTCTTAACAAGTGTATGATGGCTGATAATTTGCTGAAGAGGGGCTGTTATTGTAGATAATACTAATTGTACTTTTTCTGATGAGGGGATGGAAAAAGTACATGGCTTTAGTATTGGACATGTTTGGAGTTCAGTGGTGTTTCCTTGGAACTATGGAGGATGCAGTAATAAGTTGGCATCTTACTAGCTAAGTAATAAAGGAAAAGTGGTGTGGGGAATCATGCCTTTACCTCTGGTTTGTACTGTATGGAGGGAAAGAAATGGTATAATCTTCGAAGGAGAAGAAAAGAGGGAAGAAGACATCTTAAAAGTTCACATAAAAAAAAAGACATCTTAAAAGTTCTTTGGTGCAGCATATACTACTGGGTGGCAGTTCACAGACTTCTCAGGAACAAACCATGTAATTCTTTTTTTAATACCCTTTTTTGTAATTAAAGTAGTATTTTTGAAATGCAGGTTCTGGGATGCACAATTTCTGGCTGTGTTGGTTGTAGTGGATGTGTATGTTTTGTTATTTCAATACAATACTTCACAGTTTTTCTCAAAAAAAGTTTCTATTAGGTTGCCTAAACAAATCTTCAATGAGTCTTTTCATGCTATATCTAAAAGACTTGCCCAAACTTTTTTTTTCTTCTTTTAGGTTTCAGTTGATATGAAAATTTGTTCTGTTTTGTTTCTATCATTATTTGCTTTAGTTGTTTATTAGACCTATCTACTAGATATTCTTATATCCATGGAAATCCTTCTTGTATTTTCCTAAGAATGTGTATTCAATTTTTCTGAAATGAGAGAACTCTGAGTATCAGAATATGCTTCATGATATGATTGCATGGAATTTTTCCTTGCAAACTTAGGAAAAACATTTTTTTTTTAATGAAGGGAAACTCAAAAATAGAGGAAACTGCACCTGGTGTTGCCACAGGAATGATTTTGTCTCTTCGAGAAAGGTAATAGTTATATTTATTTATTTTATTTTATTTTTAAACTGCTTGGTAGCTTCTAGGCTATTAATTTCATTTTTTCTATCTGAATTCTATATGCTTATTGGTGTTTTTTTCTCATGCAGTCTTCAGAATTGTAAGGATACCCTTGCAACCTGCCAGGTATGTATAGTATATTAATATTTCAAATAAATATTATCTCTTTCTTGCTTTATTGCATTTGAGTTTTGGGTAAATCGTTGTAATCTGTCATGTTTTCCCATTTCACTAGGTAGATAGGTGATTTCTAGTTTTGGAAAAAATTGAGAAAAGGTTAGCGGCTTGGAAAAGAAACTATATCTCTATAGGGGGTAGAGTGACTTTATCTAGAGCAACCCTAGCGAACCTACCAGTCTACTTGTCCATTTTTAGGATACCTGATAGGGAGGCTAAGAAGCTGGAGAGGTTAATGAGAAATTTTATTTGGGAGCCAAGGGAGGAAAAGAAAGATCATTTAATTAATTGGAGAATAGTTTGTAGGAGCAAAGAGGAAGGTGGACTGGGGTTAGGTAGGTTAACTCTGAAGAATAAAGCCCTATTAGGAAAATGGTTGTGGAGGTGGCCTAGAGAAAGGGAGAGGTTGTGGCATGAAGTGATAGCTAGTATACATGGAAGACTAGGAAACGGATGGGATGCGGGTGTATCAAGACAAGCAACGTTGGCATCTCCTTGGAAAGCAATCTAAAGTATCCTCCCTCAATTTCTCAACTTTGTTAGGTATGATGTCAATTCTGGTAACCTTGTTTTATTTTGGGAAGATACTTGGGTGGGGACTGCTGCTCTAAAGGACCAATTCCCGTCTCTTTATTCTATTTCCCTTTACAAGGAAAAAGTTCTCTCTCATTTTCTTCCATCTCCTATTTCACCTTCATCCTTAACTTGGGATTTTGGCTTTCGGAGAGGTTTGAGGGATTATGAACTTAACAGTGTCTTAGATCTGTTGTCTCTTCTTGGTAGTGTCTTTTTGGACCCTCTTAGTTTGGATGTGAGATTATGGTCTCCTAATCCAAAAGGGTACTTCTCTTGCGCTTCTTTTTTTAAGTCCCTTTCCTCTTCCCCGAGTCGGTGGGATTTTTTGACCAAGGAGATTTGGTTTAGACCTATTCCACCAAAAATTGTTTTTTTTTTTTTTTTTGCTGGGAGGTGCTTTATAGAAAGATTAATACCTTGGACTGCTTGCAAAAGAAAAGGCCTTTCATGTGTTTATCTCCTAACTGGTGTGTACTTTGCAGGGCTAATGGGGAGGATTGCACCCATCTATTTGTATCTTGTTCCTTTTCTAGAGCCATTTGGAGTTGGATTTTTTCTTTGTTTGGGTGCATGTGGAATTTGTCCACAGATTTAAGTCAGCTATTCAATCCTTCTTTTTTTGTGTGGCCTACAAAAAAAGGAAAATGATGTGGAGATGTATTAGAGCAGCCGCATTGTTGACAATTTGGGAAGAAAGGAATGCAAGAGTATTCAAGGAAAAGGAAAGAAACATTCAGGCTGTTGAGGATTGATCTTAATTAGGGCCTTTCATTGGCTGAGAACTATGGACCTCTTTCATACTTTTTCCTTTGAAGATATTTGGAGAAATTGGTTAGTGGTGGTTAGCAGCCATACAAGGAAGGACAGGGTTTCTGCAGTGTGGACCCCTCCGCCTGAAGGATGGGTAAAGCTGAATTTTGATGACAGCAGCAGCCAAGGAAACCCAGGCTCATCAGGAATAGGAGGGGTGCTAAGAGATACGGAGAGCAATATATTAGCCTTGTTTTCAGGTCCTGTGGGATTAGGAGACTCTAATAGAGCTGAGATTTTGGTGGCGGTACAAGGTATTCAGATTGCAGAACAATTAGGAGTTCAGCATTTGGTAGTTGAAGGAGACTCTCAAATTGTTGTGGGATGGTTGACAGTTACCTTTTGTTGGGAGGGAAGATCAGCAAACACCTTAGCGGATGGATTAGCTAAGCAGGGTGCTACTAGGGAACATTTATTTTGGGCTGCTTTGTAATTGTATTTATGACTTGTTCTGTTTTTTATTTGATGTAATACTGCCCTGAAGAGGTAACAGCTCGTGCCTCTTTTGAGTTCCTTGTACTTTTCTGAATTAATAAATTATATTATTTCATCAAAAAAAAAATTCTTTGATCAATGTAGAACTTGTAATGCAACTCCATAGGAACCCCTATCTGATGAAATATGCAGCATCTGTCTTGATTAAATTCAATAAAAGTAATATGTTATTTATTTTTTTCTTAGAGATGCATGCTCACTCTTATGTTCAGGAAGAAACATCATGCCAAAAATAGAAATCTGGTTCTGTTTGGTTGTGTGCTTCTCAATTACCTTTTTGGTGAAGTTCTCATTGTACATGGGCTGATATATTTGGTTTTCTTTTTGCAAAACAATACTTCACCTTCTTCAAAAAAAAGCTTGCTCATCAGGTTGGAATGTGTTGATTGTGGAAGGGGACTGCCAAGGGGTCATTGGTTGGATGGACACAAGAAATTGTATGTTCTGGCCCCTTATTAACTACATTGAGGCGAGGGTGTTGTCTTCCATGATGAACAACATGCTCAGGTAAACATGTGGGTTAGTAAAGAGCCCAGCTGACACGTTATCAAGGGATCAGATAGGAAGTCAGATCTGTTTATTGGGGCACAAGGCCTGGGGGCAACACTTTAAGAATTCTATTGTAATAATTTTTGTGTGAGGAGTCAGCTTGCTTCTGTTGTATTATATCAATAAAGTTCTTGGATTGTGCAAATTGTTAAAAAGATGTAATTTGGTTCATGTAGTCAAGGGTGAGCTTGGATTAGCTGAACTCCACATGCTGTTTTGCAAGCTGTGGGGATAATCAAGTGAGTCCATGCTAGTTTTACATGAGAAGAGCGATTTTCATGTGCAAATCCTTCTTCAAAAAGGTGGTTGTTCCACAGTTCCTTGGTGCAGTACTGTAATTTCCAGGAGTACATTGTGTGAAGGGAGAAATTGTGTGGACTGAGGAAAAGAAATAAACCTGTTGTGGTGTTGGACTGTATTGCCCTTCTTTTCGTGGTGGTTTGCTTGTTTAGGTGTGACCTGAAGTATCATGAATATCGAAGACTCTGCCACATGGCCCACATCTGGTGATTTCTCAATGCAGAATGGGATGAGTGGGGGTATAGATTTATCCTTCCCTATGGTTGTTATACCACTGGATGGAACTGGAATGGTTGAAGGGGATCGGATTTTACATTACTGCAAGAGAAAAGATGGGGTATATAAATGGGAAAATTAAATTACCTAATTCCAGGAGTGCAGAACATGACAGATGGAACTAAGAAAACAACATGGTAATGTCACGACTTTTAGTGTCTATGCAACTTCAAGTGAGAAGGAATTTTATGTGGGCTGAAACAGCTTATGATATCTGGGAACAAGCAAAATCAACTTATTCTGAACTACGTCACTGTGTAGAGATTTATTAGTTACAGGCAACATCATCCACTTGTATACAGGGGGAGAGAAGTTTATCCGTGTACTACTCTGACCTCACTTCCGTCTGGAAGGAGTTGGACCATTATCAGAGTGTGAATTGGAAGTGCGATGAAAATGCAAAACCTTACAAGTGTCTTGTTTCACAGTAGCTGAGTTTTTGCCTTTCTCCTAAGCTTGAATCTTGTGTATGAATCCATTGAGGTGCAGATACTAGGAAGCAAGGATCTCCCATATTGCTAAGAGGTATATGCCCTAGTACAGTCAACGAAAAGTAGAAGAAATTTGATGAATAGTTCTAGGGGAGATTTGATTGATTTGACAACAAAAGGGAATGTTGTTACAAGTGGGAGAAATTCCCTTAAGAAGGGGGACTTCCAAAAAGGGGTGGATGACAAGGACAAACTATGGTGTAACCATTGCCAGAGGTCTTGGCACGCTTGTGGTACTTGTTAGGATCTTCATGGGAAGCCGAAGTGGGTTCATTAGTTGAGTATGAAACAATGTTCAAATTAGAATAAGAAACCGTGACATCAAGGTTTAAGGAAGTTCAATGTAGCAAACATGACCTCTCAGGAGACTTAGCCCTCCACTACTACCGTGACTCAGACGCACCCCTCTAGTTTTGATCCTAGGGAGGATATCATTAATTCCTTCCGTGACCATTTGGAGCTGTATGGTAAGGCAATTCCCCAAATGGAAGTTACCCCTCCTCCCTCAACTTCATTTGCATCTACATTAAGTAACTTTGCCACAACTTTCCATGTATCTTCTCATTTCCCTGACTCTCCTTGGATAATTGATTTCGGAGCGTCAAACCATATGACTGGTAAGTCAAATTATTTTCAATCCTATAAACTTCTCTCTAGGAGGGATAAGGTGAGACTAGTTGATGGCTCATTTTCCACCATTGCTGGTCAAGGAATCGTTTCCCTTCCCTTTAGGCTCACCCTTTCTAATGTTTTGCATGTTCCAAAATTACCTATCAATTTGTTGTTTGTTGGTAGTATCACCAACTCATTAAATTGTTCAAATAACATTTTTCCCTTCTTTTTGTGTAATTTTGGATTTGGCCTTGGGAATATGGTTGGTAGAGGAAGTATGGTGGATGGGATTTACATACTGGAGAATAAGGCTGGTTTTGCGGTCACAAAGTCCAAGAGTCAATCTAGTAGAGTCAGGCCTATTTATGGCACAATCGTCTTGGTCATTTATCTTTTGAGTCATTAAAAAATTTGTTCTCGGAGTTGTTTAAGTTAGTATTAGTGTCAGAGTTTATATGTCAAACTTGTCAATTGAGTAAACATTGAGCTCATTTTTCTTCAAGAAATAATAAGTCTGAATTTCGTTTCCATATTTCTCATTTTGATGTTTGGGGCCATGTTATTTTACCTTACAAGTATTTTATTACACTTATTGATGATTACTGTAGATACAAATGGGTGTATCCCATGCGAATTAGAGATGAAGTGCCAAAAATTATAAAATATTTCCAGCAGATGATCTTCACGTAATTTTAAATTGAAATTCAAATCTTCTAATTCGATAATGCCAAAGAATATTTTCATAATAACCTCATGGAGTTTTTTGCTTCATGTGAATCACTACACTGTAGTTCATGTTCCCGAACACCCCAACAAAATGGTGTTGCTGAAACAGTGATTTAATTGGCGCACCTAGTCGCACAGGTGAGGTGCATTTTAGGGTAGGCGTCTCATCCAGGTCCCAGGCGCAACACTTTCAAAAGGTGCATGCCTGGTGCACCTAGGCGTGCACCTGATGCACTTCTTGCGCCTTAGCCCAGGCGTGCACCTTTTGAAAATTTTACGCTTTTTTTGCTTTTCTGAACCTAGTGGTTGGGTCGGGGGCGCCCCGACCATGCCCCGTAGTTGCTAATGTTGTTCATTCATTCTTCTTAATAAAATATCTTCTTAAAAGGCAATTAAAATTATAAGATCATTATTTTTGTGTGAGAACTAAGAATTTAAGACCCTAACATGGACTTGTTTGTACAAAGGCGGCCCATAGAATCAAGAATGTAATATGTTTTACATCAAATTAACTACTGAAGTAATGCAATTGGGGAAAAAAGAGAGATTGTGGGTTTTACATGCCTAAAAATGTTTTATATGTTTGATTTTATTTTTAAATTTTCATTTGAATACGCTTTACATGTTATGTTTATGTATTTTAATTTTAGATAATAGGTTTTTTAAAAGATTTATTTTGAAATTTAAGTTTTTTATCAACATTTATCAACATCTATTTTAATATTTGTTTTTTTTTTTATTTTTTTGTATTTTTTGAATTTTTTGACATTTTTTTTATTTTTAGCATTTTTTTTTTGTATTTTTGCGCCTTGCCCCTTGCACTTTTAAAAATCACCATTTTCTTGAAGTGGCTCGGGGATTATTGATTCATATGAATGTCCCAAAACGTTTCTGGCTTGAGATTGTCTTATGTGCTATATATCTCATCAACTGCATGCCATCTCTATGGTTAGAGTGCAAGACCCCACATCAGCTCATGTTCCCCAAGGCTCTGTTATTTCCTATTCCTATATGCGTGTTTGGTTGCCGCTGTTTTGTTCAAAACCTGTCTCCAACTTGTGGTAAATTGGATCCTCGTGCTATTCCTTGTATTTTCTTGGGGTACCCCATGTCTCAAAAGGGGTATTGGTGTCTTGATCCCGTCTCTAAGAAATACTATGTTTCTATGGAAGTATCTTTCTTTGAAGGTGAGCCTTTCGTTCTTGTTTCTCCTCAAGGGGAGTGTAGAAATGAGGAGAAACAGGTTCAGTTCCCTCCTCTTCCCTTCCGTGTTTTCTTTTGTCGCCACAAAGGCCAATGCCATCGGTCGTATCTGAAAGCTGTACCACCAATGCCATCGGATTCCTTGGGGGTGGATCCTACCCAACCAGGTTCCCTTGTTCCCATTGATGTAATGAGGAGAAACAGGTTTAGCTCCCCCCGCCACTTTCTTCTCTCTTCAACCTTCTATTTTCTTGTTAATACTTTACAAGGATGGCAGTGTTTTGGGGGGAGACGGGGGAGAGAGGGAGGTTTCAAATGGCACAAGCCTTGGTAGGTTAGTGCTGTTGCAACATAAGATTTCTGGAAGAAAAACACTTTTGAAAAGAGTTGATGTCCAAAAGAAATAGCTCCTCTGTCCATCAAATTGTAGGGGAGTGACTTGGAAAGTTCACCTCACTACATTAGCAAACAAAAAGAGTTCATAGCTCAGCTGGATGCATCTACCTTAGCACACGTTACTGTGTCTATGTTGAGGTATTGCTGTTGTCGGGCGTGGGCAGTGGCCGGAACTGCAACGGCAGCACAACGATGTGGAACTCTGGTAGGTGGTGGGCACTGTTGTGTGACTGGAGTGGAAGCAAGAGGAGAGGGAGAGAGGGTGAAGAGGAAGAGATAGGATTAGAAGTAGAGCAAATAAATAAAAAATTATAAAAAAGTAAATAAAAATTAATTTCTGTCTCCCATCAATCTCGGTTAAGAAAGGACCAGCACTGTCGCTTGCTATGTTGCACATGGGAAGTGTACTTATCATGTAAAGCTGATGTGGAGGGCCGTAATTGCTGACACAGCCCCCACTACAGCCTTCTCCATTCAGCTAATCTGGACGTGTCAAGAACATAGCGAAAACCTTGGTGGAATCAATAAAAGGAGCAATTTCTATGATATCGGAAAGGCATGATACCTGGCTAACTTTATCCATTCAGGAATCCACATAAATTTTGAATGAATACTACTTGATTGATTAAGTTTTTTTTTTTTTTTGTTACAATTGGTTATCATTTTTTAGGCATCATAACTTGTTGATATCATAGTTTTACAAGACAACTTTTTGTGGAAATCATTCATTAGTCTAAATCCAGAAATTATCATGCTATTTTCTTGATCAATAACAACGAAGTTTTATTGATAAGATAATAGATAAGTCAAATGGATGATCAACACCAACAGTCTTGGTATGGATGGGGAGCAGGGTTGCAAAATCTGAAATAAGACCAAAAAGGCACAAACCTGCTACCTTCTAACCACTGAATGGATGATGAAGCCACTGAACTCATATAATGTCAACATATTGGCTTGGGGAATAATTGATAAAAAAAAAATATTGACTTGGGGAATAGGAGTCAGGTTTGTTAGCATCTAAAAAATGGGTTTCTTTGAGCTAGTTATTTTTTCATCAGTAATACATCTTGTGCCAAGCTAGTTACCAGTTATTTGTAGGTTCAAACAACTATTAAATAATGGATATGGCACTTGATAGAGAGGAATTTTGAAACTTGATTATGTAGTCAACCCTATTTAGTTAGGATAAAGCTTTTTGCACTTGTTCTGGTAGATAGTGGAGTCACAAGTGGTGTTACGGCTTGAGTTATTTACTGCTTCATGCAGGTGTGCAGTGTGCTTAGGGGGTTCCAAGGGTAAGTTGGAACTACAAAGCACACCCATGTTCCTTTTTCCTTTTTTCTTTCTTTCTTTCTTTTATTTGGTGGTGGCTGTCTGGTAAGGGTCATTTCTTTGTAAAATGGTAAAATCTTGGATTGACAAGCATACAATGTGGGTTTGAAACTGGAGCGGCCACTTGGTGCAAAAATTGCTAAAGGTTAGGCTTGTATCCTTTCTATCCCTCTCAATACCCTGGATGGTGAGGGCTCTCATTGGGTAACAGCTGGTAGATGTCTTTTGGTTGTGTTGATAGCTTAATGGTTATTATTGGTGCCTTTGGAATTGGAGTTTGACTAGGTTTTCTTGTGTACCTGAGGAGATTTGTTCTGTTTTGAGAGCTAGGTGGTTTGTGGTTGTTCTCTTATTTTTTAATATCCTTGCTCCTGTGTTTAAATACTGCTTGTATAGTTCTATATATAGTAAATTTTAGTTACCATAAACAAAATGTGTTGTATAATTTACTCAATGGGAAAATATGATTGTGTAGCTGACTCATATAGTTGGAATAAGACTTTGTTGAGTTGAGTAGAGTTTACTCAATATCATCTATGAGATCATCTCCCTCGCCTCTATCTTTATTGTTGTTGTTGTTGTTGTTGCTGTTGTTGCAGAATTTTTGCTAGAAATGAAAATTTACACAACTAACAAGTAGATTTTATTCGTAATCTTGAGTCATGGCAGTTACCGAAACATCCTTTCAATAATATTCTTTGGAGGTTGTTATTTTTGTCTCTGTATTCATGCAATCTGGATCATACATGCTGATTTTATACATTGAAGATGGCTTTTTCATCATTATCTTATACTAAGAATGGAAAGTCAACTTTGGTCGATAATGTGGCACTTTTTTCCAGACTGAGCTTGAAGCAGCAAAATCAGAGATTCAGAAATGGCATTCTGCGTTTCAGAATGAACCTGCTATACCTATAGGCACATCTCCAGGTTAGCACTTCATATCTTCATGTGATTTAAGTAGTATATTTAATTTTTTTCCCCATATTTTGGCTTGCATTTATTTTTATTGAAACTGAGTAGTTGAAACACCTATATGATGCATATTAATGTTATTTAGTAGTTACTACTTATCAATAGAAACAAAAAATTCTAGTTGCATTTGTTTGACTCTTTCTATCATTGCAGAACCTGGGTTAGTGGTTAGTTATCTTCAAACCTTGAAATCCTCAGAGGAATCACTGAAAGAACAGGTGGGTAAAGTTTTGCTTTCTGAACTTCGTAAGTAGGGATCGTAGCCTAAGCCTTACTTGATTTCTGATGTTGTTTATTTCTAATCAGCTTGAGAAGGCAAAGAAAAAAGAAGCTGCCTTTGTTGTAACTTTTGCAAAACGTGAGCAGGAGATAGCAGAACTGAAGGTAATATGGCTGTCCACCATCACACTTGCCATCTGTACATATTTGTAAGATAGGATGTAAAATATATTATTTCAGCATTCCATCTGCTTTAGAGAATCATTTGGAAGAGAAACATATATAACAACTTAATTTCTTTATAGAGACATGATGATTGGTTCCATATCCTATGTATATTATTGCTCATCGGTTTCTCAATCATATGTACACAGAAACCATCATCCTCTGAAAAGATTGGAATTTTCTCCAGCTTTTGATAAGTGCACCAAGTTTGCATCCAGAATGATAGCTGTTAGCACAAATATGCTGGAATAAAAATTACTCATGTGTTTGGCAGTGGGTTCTGTACTTTGTAGAGAATCTCTGATTTGATCATATGCTGAAATTCACTTATTAATTTCCAGTCTGCAGTTCGCGATTTGAAGGCACAATTGAAACCACCATCAATGCAGGTATTGTTACTTAAGTTTCTTTCTTTCTTTGTTTTTATCTCTGGGAAGGAAGGGGGTATAGCTGTATAGGTATCTACTTGTGGCTATTATTTTGATTCTAGTTCTAGCTGTTCACTAATGCCAAACTAAATGCTATATTGTTTCTGCTTGTCTTTGTGATGAAAGATGCTGGTCTTTTTTGTATTTTTTTTGAACAACAATAGGAAATAGTAATTGTACCCTGCTCCATCTTTGGGTGGCAAGTCCTCCAAGTTGTTAGCCAATTTAGGTGCACACATGATTGAATAATAAAAACATTGGGTTTTGTTGATTACTGGAGTGGTGCTAAGACCTCTAAACTGGTTGGGCTTTTGACTGCTGTTTCTCTTATATCTAAGAATTTGGCATGGCACAAGAACTACATTGTATGTTATGTTTTGTCCACAAAAAAGTGGTCGTATATGATCTGATGGACTTAGCTAATCCCGGCAATTACCAAACTACTACCTAGTGTGTTGATACCAACTTATTGGATAAAGTTCTTATGGTAATACTGGCACATTGCGTGTGGCAATGAAAACTATTTCATTTTCTAGGATGCCATTGTGGTGACATTTTGCTTATTCTTTTAGACTAATAGCTTGGTGTTCACATTAACAGGCTGTAGGATGTTAACCACTTCCAGGACCAATTAAGTGTTTGAATGCAAGCCATACCAAATAAGGTTTTTCAAATTAAATCTATATGCTCTTAAGGCAGTTTTGGCACAGTGTTTCCGTTTTGATCCATGTCTTACCACTAAATTTCTCTAAAGGCCTAGGCTGGCCTAAACTAAAGCACTGCAGGTTATATTTGGATAGAACTGGAAGTGGATGAAACAAGACTTGTACACATAAAAAAGAGGTGAATTGGTCATAATGTTGTTGTTAATAACTTTAAAACCATCTGTCCGTCAAGTTTTTGGGTTTTCCTTTTGTTTTTTTTTTGTTTTTTATCAATAACAGTGAATTGTATTAATAAGATGGAAAAGCTGAATTACAAGGAAGGAGCTAAAAAATCTTAACTCCCAAATACCCTATGAACTCAAATTCATGAAGCAATTACAAAACAGCCCAAAACATTGAGTTTCTGTTCACCCCTTGCCTAGCTAGACCATCTGCCAGTGCATTAGCCCTTCTCACTATCCATGTACAACGGATTTCAATATCCTTGGTGAGCCACTTGAATTTCCTCTTTTCATTGCTGTATTTCCAGAGTGTAGAACTGTCCTCTTTTAGCCAATTTACTACAATTTCAGAATCACCTTCTATGATCAATTTTTTAAAGTTCATTTCCTTGGCCCTTTGAATCCCTTCAAGAGCTCCTAGGATCTCAGCCCTCAAGGAATCTCCCACCCCAATTGGACCAGAGTACATAGCTAACAGGTTCCCATTTTCATCCCTTATTACTCCCCCAACTCCAGAGGGCCCTCGATTACCCATGCTGCTGCCATCAAAATTCAGTTTGGTAAGCCCTTGAGGTGGAGGTGTCCAACAGGAATTTAAGGTCTTCTTGATTGAGCCCAACTCCGCAATCTCCTTCCACTTTCTGGCCATCTCATCAACTGAGAACACTGCAAACAACTCCAAGGTTTTTAACCAGTGAATCACCCTAATGTGAATAGTTTCCAGGATTACTTCCAAGCTTCTCTCCTTATTAGAAAATACCCTTAAATTTCTCTCCTCCCAAATAGTCCAACACACTGCAGCCCTACCACATCTCCACATGATCTTGGCCCTTTTGGTTGACCAGTTAGGCATGGAAGTAAACAAGCTTTGCACATCCGAAGGGGGAGTCCACTTGCAACCAAACAGAGAAGTAAACCATTCCCAAATGACTTTAACAAACTGGCATGAAATTAATAAGTGATATCCGGACTCACCATCAAATTTACAAAGAACACACCAGTGAGGAGACAAGCATCTATTGGGTCTTTTTAATCCCCTATATTAACTCTTTCCAGAAAGGCTTCCTATTAGAAGCACCCAACCTTTAGAGGAATAGGTCAACACCACACTTCTTTAACAGAAAAAGACAGTCCAACAGGAGAAGGGGATAAAAGGGCCTTGAAGAAAGAGGCACAGGAATAGGAACTTGAGGGAGTGAGTGTCCATATTCTACTATTTGACTTCAATGGCTCAATGAAGACCCCTTCAAGAATGGATAATAAGGTTGAAATGCAGGCTAATTCTGTGTCCCTGACATCTCTTCTCAAGTTCAAATTCCAACCGAACCCAGAAGGTGAATTAGAAGGAACAAGAAAAGAGGAAATTGGCTCATTTTTAAGGGTAAAGATGGCAAAGAGGCTTGGAAATTGATCTTTCAAAGAGGAGTTCCCAACCCACACATGTTCCAGAATTTAATGAGGTTACCTGAGTGTAAGTCATACCTGACCCATGGATAGAACAAGGGCAAGATGGCTTGAATAGCTTTCCAAGGAGAAGCTCTTGTAGTCCTTGCTAAGATCCCAGAGTCCCATCTATTGCCTGCCAGCCCATGTATACTTCCTACTATCTTAACCCACAGTCTTTCTTTCTCCAATGAGAATCTCCACAGCCATTTCCCCAACAGTGCTAAGTTCCTAACCCTTATATTCCCAATTCCAAAATCTTCATCCTTCTTACATCCACATACCACATCCCATCTGACCCTATGGTCCTTCTTCTCCGCTCCCGGCTCCCAAAGAAAGTCTTTCATTAGTTTCTCCAGCCTACTAGCCACCTTAGCCGGAATCTTAAAAACTGATAGGAAATAGACAGGAAGGTTGGCACGAGTAGACCTTATCAAAGTGATCCTCCCATCGAGAGGTAAATAATTCTTCTTCCAGTTGGCAAGTCTTTTTTCAAACCTCTCCACAACAGGGGCCCAAAGTTCACCTTTCTGAGGATTATCTCCCAATTGTAAACCAAAGGTAGTTTAAGGGCCAATTGGAAACTACACACCCCAGAATGTATGCACATTCACAAACCTCCCCTTCGCCCATATTGACTCCAATTATACAACTCTTCTCAAAATTTACTCTTAAGGTTTGACATTTGCTCAAAGAGTTGTATAGTGAGCTTTAGGTTTCCAATTCTATCGATGTCCCCTCCTTCACAAAACAGAATTGTGTCATCTACAAATTGAAGGTGTATAAGTGGTATATTGTCTCTTCCAACTCTCCATTCTCTTATTAGCTCCATAGAGTCTGCTTTGGAGATCAATCTCCCCAACACTTCTGCAACCAATGTAAACAAAAAAGGGGAGTGAGGGTCCCCTTGCCTAATCCCTCTCGAAGCTGGGAAATAGTCCACCACTGTCCCATTTACCAAAATAGAGTAATGACAATCCCTAATGCAACCCATCACCCATTTTCACCGAGTTTCTCCAAACCCAAAGTTCAGCATCACCTCTAAAAGGAAAGACCAATCAACCATGTCAAAAGCCTTTTCGAAGTCTAATTTGCCGACCACCCCACTTCTCCCGGATCTCTTGAAATCCTCTAGGCTCTCATTTGCTACAAGAATCTGGTCTGTTATCTGCCTTCGCTTGACAAAGGCTCCTTGGTTATTTGCTATAACTGCTGGGAGCACCTTCCTAGTTCTAAAGGACAACACCTTGGTGATGATCTTATAGAGGCTATTGACTAGACTGATCGACCTGTAGTCTTTTGAATGATTTGCATCACTTTTCTTGGGAATCAGAGCAATGAAGGTAGAGTTTAGCCCAGGGTTGATTACTCCTCTGGTTTGATTACTCCTCTAGGCTCTCCTTTGGGTTTTCCTTTTATTGCTAGGTGCTTAGCTACTTCAATATGGGACCCGTCATGAAGAAATTGGAGAAAAGGCTTCAGCTTGGAAAGCCAAAAATTTATCCAAGGAAGGTAGGGTGACATTTGATCGAGAGAGCTTTGGCCAGTCGGTCTGCCTATTACGATATTACTTTACTTTATTCTCCATTCCCTTGAAGGTTTGCCAAGAGAATTGAGAAGACCCAAACCGAATTCTTGTGGTAGCATTGGTTTGAGAAGAGTAAAGTTCATGAGGTGAACTGGGACCAAGTGTGTACTCCATTAGAAGATGGTGTGCCGGGTATAAAGAAATTAAGAAAATAAATCTGTTCAATGCAGCTCTGCTTGGCAAATGGATGTGGAGATTTGACAGGGATAAAGAAGCCTGGTGGAGGAGGCTGATTGCTTCCAAAAATGGCCAGGGTAGAAAGAAAATAAAGTAGTTCAATGTAGCCCTGCTTGGAAAATGGATGTGGAGATTTGGAAGGGATAAAGCCTGGTAGAGGAAACTGATTGCTTCAAAAAAATGGGGTGACTAGTTGTGATTGGGACATCTCGTGACCCTTACCTCATATGGCAACTCAGTCTGGAAGGGAATTAAAAGAATTTACAACCGACTTCTGAAGGCATTACTTACAAAGTGGATAATGGAAAATGATTCTTATGAGGTTTCAGGGGTGAGGTAGTGTGGTCATCCAACTGTCGAAGAAGTCTTCAAGATGAGGAACTTGACAGTTTGTTAAATTTGCTTTAAATCCTGCTATAACTAGGTGATAAGGGTGGGGCCGGTGGGCCAAGAAGGCATTTGTCTTCCACTTGGATTTCAGACACTAAGGCTCATACAAAAGTAAATTTCCTACTTTGGGTGGCTTCGTTGTGGAGATGCCTAACCAGAGTTAACCTTGCAAGATGGGGGATGATAATAGAGGATCAATCTTGCATCACGTGCAAGCAGGACCTGGAGAGTACAGATCATTTGTTCGTCCCTTACAGGTTGGTTAGGAGCTTATGGACCCATTTTTTAAGGCTGAAAGCTTAGCTTGGGTGGCTCTGAAATCTCCAAAAGTGTTTCTGCTGGCCTGACCAGTCCAGGGACTGGGAAAAAAGGGGTAAAGTGTTGTGGGGGCTGGTTTTGGCTGCATTGGTTTGGTCATTGTGGACCGAAAGAAATAGGGAAATATTTGAAACAGTTGTAGTGCTGAGGATGAGCTTC